AATCAGTAGGATAAGGATATAAACATTTTCATAAACTTTTACAATTTGTGTTTTAAATTTTATATAGTCAAAAAAAATTAATAAAAAGCTTACAAAGTAAAAATGATACAATAAGCTAAGGTTAGTTTACTACTGAAGAAAAAAATTATAAATTTAGTGTGGCCTGTGTGTTCAGTGTTTATAAAGTCTACTGTGGTATACAGTGATGTCCTAGGCTTTCACATTCACTCACATTCACTCACAGACTCACCCAGAGCAACTTCCAGTCCTAAAAGTTCCATCCATGGTAAGTGCCCTGTGCAAGTATGCCATTTTTTAAATCTTTTTCTCCATAGTTTTATTTTACCTTTCCTATAGTTACACAAATACTTGCCATTGTGTTACAATTGCTTACAGATTCAGTACAGAAACATGTTATGCGGGTTTGTAGGAGCAATAGGCCATACCATGAAGCCAAGTTAAGTAGTAGGCCAGAGCACCTCGGTTCGTGTAAGTACACTCAGATGTTCAAACAACAAAATCACCTAAGGTTGCATTTCTCATTATCAAGCAACATGTGACTATTTCCTACTTTAAAGATGAAGTAAAGTCATGTGGTTAAATAATTTGCTCAAGGACAAATTGGTACGTTGTCTCCAAAGACAGTTACAGGCATCTTTCCCATTTCATATGGCCTTGAACAATGTGACTTCACTATTCCTCCCATCAAGAAGTTATCTACTGGATATTACTGTACACTTCTGTAGACTTTATAAACACTGTACACATAGGTACACAAAGTTTATATGTGTGCATATACGTTTATTAATATATATACATGTGTGTACATACATATATGTGTATACATTAAAAATACATATATATTTTCCCCTTCTCCCCAAATCTGGGCAGGCCTTGTGACTTACTATAATCAACAGAATGGATGGAAGAGGTCTAGGGCTTAAGAGGTCTTGAAACTTTTGCAGGAAATCCTGCTGGAGAAACATCCTAAAGAATGAGAGTCAATGTGGAGAAAACATCATAGGAGAGGTAAGAGATACTGCTATAAACTGAATTGTGTCCCCCCTCAAATTATTATGTTTAAGCCCTAACTCCTAATGTGACTGTATTTGGAAATATGGCCATTAAGAATGTATTTAAAGATAAATGTGGTCATGAGAGTGAAGCCCTGATCCAATAGGATGAGTGTACTTTGAGAAGAATTATCAGTGTTTGCTTTTTCTCTTCAAATGCAAGGACAGAGTGAGAAAGCAGTTGTCTGCCAGCCAGAAAGTGAGCCCCCTTTAGAAGTTGAATCAGCTAGCACTTTGATCTTGGACTTACAGCCTCCAGAACTGTGAGAAAATAAATTTCTGTTCATTATAAATTTTTCAACCTCAAGTATTCTGTTACAGCAGCACAGAATGACTAAACCATGGGTATGATTCCTGGTAGTGCTTTTGAACCATGAAGTTTGAGAACTTACAGTTTATATGCTGAGGAAAAGAGCCTTTGGGAAAGGACATTTAAAGTCAGCTGTGATGTCCTCTTGGCAATAATATTAATGATTGATTGAAACAGATGATTATTGGGCATTTGTTATATTGTTATATACCATGTATTTTATATATATTACTGCATTTCCTCCTGATCATCCAACGTGGTCACACACATTATATCTCCATTTTTAC